TTTTTTAAAAGTACGAAACTGTGTGTTTATTATAATAGTCATTGGCTCTGCCTCCTCCTTTCAGGTTTTTATTATAGTTTTTCAGCTCAAGTGCCAGGTTAAATTAGGAAGTACCAAACAGACCCTCTTAACTCTTAAAAGGTTTAAGAGAAAAATTTGGATATGAGCTAAAAGCACTTATGATGTACAATTTTTATGTCTACCCTACCATCTGTTGCTCAACCATTTAAATATCTAATTTTTATCTATATCATACAATTTTGAAAATTAATAATTAAAAAATCTAGAAATACATTTTTTTTAAGATTCAAAAGAATAAAAATCCCTTTATGAGACTTTCTTTTGCCTGACTACTGACGTATAAGAACAGTGAGTCATGGGAGCTGATTCCCTTTGGAAGAAATCAATTGTCTCATCCACTTTCTCCCTGTGGGAATAAAATGAATGGCAATATAATTCCAGTTGCCACAAAACTTAGCAAAGTGTTTCCCTTTTCTGGCTAATATTTAAAAACATTTCACATGAAAGAGGGCACCCACTTTGCTGTTTACATAATTTCTTTGTCTCTTTTCCCGTTTCTTTCACTGGTTCACAGAAGAAATACAAATTACACTGGATTTAATATGATTCAGTTATTGTATTCTTCAATGACCAATTTACCCTGATAATAATTTTTAAATTAGAAATATTTAAATTATAATTCCTTCTAGATGATTTAAAATCCAATAAGATAATCCTGAAATAAACTTAAAATTTTTAATTTGTGTGAAATAGTTGAATTTCTGGGGTTGGTGAAGAAAGATTGGTGAGGAAGACAAATTAATGCCACTTATTCTTTAATTATTGCATAAGCCAACAATCTATCTTTTTCAAACTTGGCCATAGAATGAAGCTATAATTTTCTTGAATATGAAAATCATAAATAATCTAGGGACCATGTCTTTTGGCACAAGAAATCCTACAATGATAGTGGGGAGAGGAATTAAAGATTCCATTACCTTGCATGACCATTTGGTTTAGGTCCAATTCAAGCAAGCTATTACCTACTTATTCTTGGACAAAAATATGTGCTCATTCTGAAGAAATTATGCTCCTCTAAGGCCAGGAAGCTTTCCAGTAAACTTCGTGTGGTATTTTAAACCAATCCAAGTTGCAGTATAAAACTAAAAGAACTTTTTATGTTAGATGAGTAAGTAAAAGAATCTGTAAAGCAAAAAGAAGTATACTGAAGATTAAGTAGCTGGAGACTAACTTGCTGAGTAAAGTCATGTAGATTCAAATGAAAAGAATGAACTAATTGGGGCCACCAGAATTTGCAACTCTGTAGCCTGCAGCCTCTGGAGAATGCATTGTGATTTTAAAATACATCCTGAGAAGCATTTATCTTAGAAGATTCAGTAGAATAAAAAAAAAATTCCATGGTCATATGGAGAAACTGTGCATAATGTCTCTCCTTTCTCAGATTTATAATGTACATCAAGTCATTGAAGCAGTGGTCTTTAAATGGGGTGTGACTATATCACAGGGTGCACAAGACAATTCAGTAGAAGGTAGGAAGGGAATTTGAAAATGTTTTTAAAATGTATTTTTATAATATTTTGATTTCTTTTATTTTTATGTATTTTATAATGTATATAACTACACAATAGTGCAATTATTCAATTTATATATGAGCATGTACACATACATTGGGAATAAATTATTATTGTTGAAAAATATATGAAGGAAAAAATTGCAGACTTTTTCATTAGAGCATCTTAGAATTTTTGCAGTAAAGCAACATCACTTTGAACTTATATCACCATAAGCAACTTTGTGTGTATGTATGATATGTACCACACATCCCTTATGATCCAATACAGCACACTTTATGAATCACTGTTTTAGAAGCCAGATGTTTTTTCCCCTCAAACAGTGTGTTTTCATTTACTGTATCTGCTAAGAGGGGAATGATAATGACCTGAATTTTAGAGTATTTTGCAAATTCAATTACCTCTGGAAAGTCTTGATCAGAGAGTACTTAACTAAAGCAAAATTATCACAAAGTAGAATTTTTACTTATTTGCAAGCTAAGAAGTTAGCCTGCCAAACTTTAATGGATGCTGTTAAAAGACATGAGATTCTTGAGACAGAGATGAATGACAGAGTAGCCAGTAGACAGAGTATCAGCATTTTTTATTTATTTATTTATTTATTTATTTATTTATTTATTTATTTGCCAGTTCTCTAAGCTCCAATTCCTATAGGGAGACATGAAAGAGAGCTAGATGGTAGCTGTGCACATGAGTTTCTTACAGGAGAGGGAGTTTGAGCTTAGGGAGCCTGGATTTTTTATAATGGTCAAGAGCATGCTGAAGGCATCAAGTGCCTCTGCTTGCAAGACATGCAGAAACATGAGAACCTCATGGAGAATTGCTTCCCAATTAAGATGTGCTCCTGGGTTTGATTTTACAAAGAGTAAGCCAACATACCCTGCACCTAGCAGAATGACCTCTTTCAAACCCTTCCTCACAAGAGCATCTTCATGGGCACACAATCAATCAGTGCAAACACACAAAGCCCTATGCTCAGAACCCCTATCCTAGACTGTGGTTTAATGGTCTGTGATTACCTGTGATTCCTGTCTTAAAACACTTAATCATGTCATCTTAGACTTTATGTTTTGCAAATGAAATTGTGTGAGATAATAGAGTAATTGGAATCTTGGCTTATGGATAATCCTGCTTCTTGTCCACCTCCCTGCCTCCTGGGAATGGGTTTTAGACCATCTACTGTCCCTGACACCCCATACCATGCCCAATCTCCCCATGCCAGGAAAGCTGTTTCTCTCTCTCTGGGGCACGTACTGTGTTGTATTCATTTGGGGAATTCCTTGTCTTTTGTTGCCCTTCTCCCCACACAACGGTCCAGAGTGGGACATGGTGGCAACCATGCAGCCTTAGATTGGCAGTTACACATGCAGTCAGAGGGTAGCCAGGCCAGGCTGAGACTATGTATAGATGAGAGAAAGCCCCTAACTCACCTCTGATCCAGTGTATTCTGAGGACCAAGGATGCCTTTTGGCATGTGTGGGGTTTAAAGACCCTGAAATTGCTGTTCACCAGGGTTGGAGTGGCAGGCCTATGGGAAGGGGTATCTGGCTGGACTTTCCTGAGTGCACCACAGTCTGAGTGAGTGCAGCATGCTAGTCTAGCAGCTGGCAGGAAGGGTTGCCCAGCTTCCTCTGAGTTACAGATAGGGTCCCCAGACACAGGTAACAGTTTGCACTGATGCCAGGAGTATCCCAGTTTCCAAGGAAGCACTCCCTCCCAACACACACCTCCTCTGACTCCATGCCTGAGGGACCATGTCTGCTGCCTTCCAACCTTGCTGAGTCTAGTCTACATTGTCTAGTTCAGCCAGCTTGAGGCATCCTCCGCGGATTAGCTGTGGAATATAAACTGTATAGTTTTGGAATTCTGTAAATGAGTTATATTTCCAATTAAAACTGGCATTGTATAATATAAAAATAAATGGTTAAATTCATAATAATAATTCCATATTTTAATTTGTCTTTACTTAGAGTGATGTTAAATAACCTAAAACACATAATGGCAAGTCAAGAAAGAAAGAGCAAAATAAAAGAGAAAGTTATATTTTGTATTTTTTGTACATCCCTCCCCCTTCCTTTTCAATAAGGGAGGGTCCTCACATTTTTGTTTTGCACTTGGACTCTCCAGTGTACGCAGCTAACCCTGCTCACATAATATATCTCTGCTCACTTCACTCAGGGCCCTTCACATCAGAAGTAACTGATTTTGAAAACTATTAGAGAAGATACCTGTATTCTACATCTGTATCATACTCTTTTTTTCCACTTCTGCAATGGCAAGAGAGTCCCTACTTCTCTCCTGGGCTAACTTATCCCCTTGTATCCTGAACCCTTTACTCTTGTTCTTATCAAGGAACCTCATACTGGTATTGATCCTTTCTCTCACCCCAATCATGAAATCACAGTTTTCACCTCTCCTGTATGATCCCCAGGAATATACAACATGCTTTACTATTTTGCCCTGTTAACTTCAACATACACAAACCACAATCATATACAAAACAAAACAAAAAATCTCTTGACCTCACAACCATAGTATCGCTGCTGGCTTTCCATTTCTCTGCTCTTTCACAGCAAAAATTCTCAAGTTTGTATACTCACTACTCCCTTCACATTCATTCATTGTCCCACTATAATCCACATACAGTCCACACACCTCCACTGAAATTGCTCATTAAATTATCATATGATCCCTTACTGCCAAACCTGGCACTCACTTATCTAGACCCCAGCATTCAGCATAGTTATTGACTCCTGGAATTCTGGTGTCTATGACTTCATTCTCCTCGCTATTTATTAACCTTGTTGGCTGTTTATCAGTCTTTCTCTGCTGCTTCCTTCTCTAGCAAGACTTTAAATGATAGACTGCATCTAAAACTTAATACTCCTTTCTCTCATCTTCTTTATACATTCTCTATTTTTCTCCCTACAGTTCTTATCTCCAGATTATATATCCAACTGCTTCATCTTAGATGTTTAATAGGCATTTCAGAATTAAAATGACCAAATGCAACCCTTAATTTTCCCCAGGGATGCTGGGATCTGTCTTTTTAAACTCAGTAAATGATATTGTGTTGTAATGATATATAGAAATGTTTAAAAATGTCTAAAAAATGCTTTAAAATATCTAAAAATGTTAAAAAGTTTTTAAAATGTTTGAGTTAACTTTCCTGAAACCTAAAGTGTGATACTAAGGACACTGCCCTGAAGCGTGTGTACCCCATAGATAAAGACTTGAACTTCAGTTACTGACTCAGAGTGGCTTGCTGAGATAACCATTTGTGTGAGTGATGTACTCTCCCTAGATAACCACATGTAGCCCCCTCGCCCTGTTTGAGATTAACATGTGTGCACTGACGTAATTCATTGATAACCACCTGAACTGCTGTGGGTATGAAACAGGCTTTAAAAATGGGTCCTGGCCAGCCAACAGTGCTCGCCTGTTGAGACAGCCACAAAGGCACGTCCTCTTGTCAGTCTGGCAAGCGACGCTGCCCCATTCTCCTCTTCCTGCCAGACGACAGAAGAGAAGAATGGTTAGTACTTCCTGATCGAGATGCGACCGAGCTCTCCGGTGAGGAACTCCAGCCCCCTGCATCCCATCCCGACTGAACCAGCTCAGCTGCCGGACCCCAGAGGACAGCACCACCAGGAGCCCATCAAGCCTGTATCCACAGCATCAGGAACTTTTGTGAGTAATAAAGTGCTGTGTGATTTGTAACTGCATATGTTTCATGTGGTGTAATTCCTCCAGTAGTTAGTTGAATCACTTTGCAAACACTTAAAATTGAAATTAAAGCCTCTGGTCTTTTCAGTCCTAGGATTGCCCTTGGTCCTGCTTGCCTAGAGCAGCCTCTTTGCTAGCAACTACTTGAATGTCCAACACCTGCACGGTTAAAGTTTATCTCAAGGGACGCCTTATAAACACCCCCAGATCTTTTCCCAAGATCTACTTGGGATATATTGTCTAATCACTTACTCAACCCCTTAGCTTATCTTCCTTTATCTTTTGCATGCTGCCAAACAGCTAGTACTGTTTTCAAACCTATCAACCTAGTTGGAATCTGTTCTCCTTTCCATCTACTCAGATACCACTGTAGTGTAAACTGGCAAGACTCTTGATTAGTCTCCTAATTTCCATACTCTGAAAACCTGACAATGATCTGAGTGATGTTTTAAAAACACAAATTAGATTATGTTAGTGTTCAACTCTTAGAATGAGTACCATGGCTTACAAAATCATGAATTATTTGGGACTGGCCTACATTTCCAAGCTCAACCCATATTACTTCTCCAGCATATTTCAGGCCCACTGGTCTCCTCATTCCTTTCACAGGCTGAAGGGCTCAATTTCTTGGGGGCAGGCACATTAAGGGACTGGCAGATATCTAAAACAGAACTTGGAATATAGTAGTCAATAGATGTTAAATAAATATGTACATTACTTATTTGTCCATCTATCTTTCTAAATGTGGGTTCATTAAATGACTATTATGTTATTATTTGAAGATAAATTTAATATTTTCATATATGCAAAATACTGCAAAAATCTCTGTGAAACAAATACTTTCGCATATAATGGTTTCTGTTTTTAAAGTTGCTCATTTTATTCCCTCAAACAGAAACACTTGTTATTTTAATGTTGTGTTTTGGTTGTTTCTGTTACACTATTAGTGTAATTGATTGGTAGAATCATGATTGTGAGAAACCATATAGCTTAATGGAATTCTTGAGGACCAGGAATTAAAATCCATCTGACTTTATGCCTCTATTATTCTTGACCCTGTGCACATCTTTACCTAAAAAATGGTATAAGTACAATATTTCCAGCATGGATGAGCAACTTTATTAAGCAGGGCATCATGTAGCTCTATCCTACTTATGGGAAAATGAGAATAAATAATAAATATGAACACGCTGATGCACCAAAACATTCCCATTTTTATCTGCTCTTTTATAGTTTGGATATTTCAATGTGTTAAAATACTTCCTCTACTTAAATCTGGATGCTCTGTAGAGGACCATTCAATTACATCAATATGATAACCAAATTGTCTATTGATTGTCTATTGATTAGGAGCATCAAAAGAATAGGTAGAGGGCGGCAGATATTTGGAGCCTGGGATAACTTCAGAAGTTGACTGAGCCAGGAAATGTGTGACAGTGAGGCACAGGGGACAGGACTCTTTCTGCCAATCATACAAGACTAAATCCATTCACCCTCAAGTCAATTTCCTCTGGGAAGCCTCACATTTCTCAAGTCCCAAATTCCCTTATCACAGGGCTTATTGTGCTGCACCAGCTTTTTACTCCTCTACATCATCCATTAAGTTATAAGTTCTGTGAGGATGAGAACTATAAATGCCTAGGGCTATTTCCCTATTGAATTGAATAATGAATGAATGGATGGGTGGAATTGAATGAATGAATGGAGTGTTAATGTAATAGTTCATTATCATCTGGAAGAATAGCTTGGAGCTATTTAAAAAGCTATGGGAGAGATTATGTCATGTTTGACCTCTTATTTGGATCAGATAAAGGAAATTTTTAAAACCCAGGAAAGAAATCTGTTGTATTATTTGCTATCTGAATGATGTAGTTTGCTGAGATAAGACAATAAGAAAAAAGAGAAGAAGAAAAAGGAAAAAGAAACCTCAGGATGAAATCTTGACTCTGTTTCTTATTGTAAGTTTATGATTTATATAAAAAAGAAAATAATACCTGACTTGAAACGTAGTATGAAGTTATTAAAGTTAGCAAAATAATAACCACTCAATTAATAATAGATGTTATCATTATTTTTTATTACTTTTTGGATGGTGATTTGCAAAGTTTTATAACAATATTAAATTTTGAGACTTTTTCACCCTTTTTCCAGGACTTAATCCATGCTTAAGGTAAACTAATAATCTTTAGAGTAATATATAGAATAAAGCAATGATCTTTATAATAGTTCTAATATATTATTAATTACCAATAATTTGCATATAAAAATACCTTTTATATAAGAGAGTTATTTTTTTTTTGTATCAGACTTCTAAGGTTAAGTTCCAAGGACTTGAAGTTATAATTTTTAGTTTCAAAGGTAGTCCACATTTCAACTTTGAAAGTAGAATTAAGATGGGATTGTTCCTTTCAAAAATCACAGAAGTGTTCAAGTAATTAACTATACTAAATAATGGCTCATTTTAACACCTGCCTACCCTCTTGACTATATTCTTGTAAACATTATCTGCCATACTCATTACATGTCTTTTTCAAATCTCATTCCATTTCTGCCGTCTCCTCAATTTGCAGATGGAAATGATGCTACATGAGGTAATCTGTTTTGAACAAAACAAAAAGCGATTGCTCTCAACCCATACGTGTATCATTTACCCTACCCAGGAATTAGGTCTTTCATACTTGCTTGAAATAATCATATATATTATTGTAAACAGCAGATTATAACGAGATTAGGCTCTTGTTTGGTGAAGGAAAAATGGTTAATGTGAATTTTTAAAATTGCTTTTCAGAGGTGAATCACTGATTTAAGCATAAATAAGTCAGAAACGAATAGAAGTTATTAACCTCTGAAAGTTTAGTGGTGATATTGGTCCAGTTCCTAGTTTCCCCATGGACTGGTACCCAGTCTTGAAAGTTACACGGCATTTAGCACTGCTGATGAGAGTCTCACCTGAGAGGGAAGGTGTACATGGTCCAGGGGGTCTGCTTCCAGAGAGCTATCCTAACTCATAGATGAAATACAGCTGAAAACGTCTTGTGACCTTTTGGTAATTTCATAAAGCATAACCTTCTCAATTGGTATTTCTGTACCAATACCTGGCAAAGTTGTAGAGATTAATGTCAACAAGTACCACTCAGAGGACACTGACATGCAGACTTACCCGCCATTAGCCTAATTTCTCTCCACACAAGGTCGGTGGAGTTGCAGTCACATTTATTCAGGGATAATCAACCCTTATTTGGATACTGGTGTGTTAATGATGGTTTTTTAAAAATCTGCCAGGGTCAAGTATATCTTTTGTAAACCATACTGATTAGTATTTATCAAATTTGAAGAAAGATATCTGGGAATAACACAAGCATAATACTGAGGAAATTAGAAATCGAACACAATTTAAAGAGTTAACATCTTCATTTAAGAGTGAGCATCATCTATAATAATAAAAGCACAATATGCTAATTAGACCAGATGTCTTTCTGGACAAAGCAGGGCGGCAAGGGCCAAGGCAGAGGCAGCCACTGCGGTAGGTGCTTTTCTAGTAGGTGAATCTTCTTGTGTTTCAATTTGCATTTCTCTTATCCTTAATGACTTTTATTTCCTTGATACTGAGTAACCTTTTATACCTTTTAAAAATCACTTTCTAATATCTTCTCTTAAGATGTTTAAATATTTTATAAATATTTGTAAATATTTTTACTTGTTTATAGTTTTTATTGGCTTATAAGTATATATATATATATATATATATATATATATATATTCTGGTAAAAGTCCCTTTTTCCATATGTATATATATGTTAAACATATATTTTTCCAGTTCCTGGATTACTTATCATTTTTTAATGATATTCTTTTTTATGAAAACCAATTTATTATTATCTTCTTTTTGTGTTTTGTCTGAGAAATCTTTATTTACCATGTCTTTTGCTTGAATCAGACACATAATATATTATATTGTGTCCTTTTGTGACCTACCTTTTGCTTTGGGGTTTAAGTGTATGATATCTGTTGAGTTAATTTTTGTATGTGATAAAAGATAGAGGCTCAAGTTAATTTTATTTGAAAGTTCATATAGTTATTAAATAATGTCTTACCCTGTATGCAGAGTATATATATATAGATTTCTTATAATATACTATATATACTAGAGGCCCGGTGCACAAAAATTTGTGCACTTGGGGGGGAGGGGGGCCCCTCAGCCTGGCCTGAGCCCTCTCGCAGTCTGGGACCCCTCAGGAGATGACCACCTGCTGGCTTAGGCCCGCTCCCCACGGATTGGGTGTAAGCTGGCAATCAGACATCCCTCTGGCAGCCCGGCAGCCCTCGGGGATGTCCACTTGCCAGCGGGGAGCAGGCCTAAGCTGCAGTCGGACATCCTTAGCGCTGCTGAGGAGGCAGGAGAGGCTCCCACCACCACAGCTGTATTGGCAGCCTTCAGCCTGGCTTGTGGCTGAGCAGAGCTCCCCTTGTGAGAGAGCCCTGACCACCAGATGGCAGCTCCTGCATTGAGCACCTGCCCCCTGGTGGTCAGTGTGTGTCATAGTGACCAGTCATTCCCAGTCCTTCTGCTGTTAGGGTCAGTTTGCATATTACCCTTTTACTATATAGGATAGAGGCCTGGTGCATGGGTGGGGGCCGGCTGGTTTGCCCTGAAGGGTGTCCCGGATCAGGGTGGGGGTCCTGCTTAGGTGCCTGGCCAGCCTGGGTGAAGGACTGATGGCTGTTTGCAGCTGGTCACACCCCCTTCAGGGTGGGGGTCCCCACTGGGGTGCCTGGCCAGTCTGGGTGAGGGGCTGAGGGCCGTCTTCAGGCTGGCGGGTGACTGAAGCTCCCAACCTGTCCTTTTTTTTTTTTATTATTCTGGGATTTATTTACCTTCTATGGCTGTCACTGGAACTGAGAGCCAGCTTTAGCTTTGAGGCTCAGCTCCAGCTCTGAGACCTTGGCTGCTGAAAGCAGGTATC